ATCATTGCTAGGAGGGAGGAGGAGGACTATGACGACTGTGGGGTCCTGGATGCTCTCTGAGTTTGGTTGGTTTTCTTGCAGATGTTCCATGATCCAACTAGGGAACATCCTCAGTGCTAGTAGGAGTGGGGTTTGTGGAGAGGAGGAGGAGGAGGAAGGAATGAGAAAGAAAGAGGAGGAGGAGGAGGAGGAGAAATGTGGGGTCTTTGGTGCTCTCTGAACTGGGTGGTTTCTTTGCAGATGTTTCATGGCCCAAGCTGGGGAACATCCTCAGTGCTGGGAGGGAGTGGAGTTTGTGGAGAGGAGGAAGAGGACTGTGAGGCCCTTGGTGCTCTCTGAGCGTAGCTGTTTCCTTGCAGATGTTTCTTGACCCAACTAGGGAACAGCATCAGTATTAGAAGAGAGGGAGTGTTGGGGAGAGGAAGAAAAAGGAAAGGAGAAGAAATGTGTGGTCCTTGGTGGAGGAGGAAGAGGAGGTCCGTGGAGTCGACGAGCTTAGCGGTTTTCTTGCAGACGTTTCACGACCTGACCAGGGAACATCGTCAGTACTGGAAGGGAGGGGATTTTGCAGAGTGAAGGAAGAAGAGGAGGAGGAGGAACAGGAGGACAGTGGTGCTCTCTGAGCTTGGATCTTTTCTTGCAGATGTTTCATTGCCCAATTAGGGAACACCATCACGGCTAGAAGGGAGGGGGGTTTGCTCTCTGTTTATGTACAGTAGTACCTGCCATTTTGTTGGGATATGGTTTTTTTTTCCCCTCTATTGTTCCTTCATCAGGATATTTGTTTTCTGCTTAAGTATTTGTCTGGTGTCCATCCATGCTTCTCTGGTTAGAGACGGCGGAGCCAACCCTCTCTTGGAGGACCTAAGTATAGTGAGCAGGGATCCCTGGATGGGAGGTTACCGCTCGCTCCGGTGTGGGAGGAGGACGGCACTGTCCTTCCCCGCTCTCCGATTTATCTACATTCCTCCGTATTTCTTCATTTATGAGGCGGCTGCACTTGCTGCACAGCTAAATTTTGCAAGCCTGGGAGGAAAAACCAGAATTTGCTCCTCCGGCAGGCTTTACGGAAGGCAGAGAAATGCGTTTATGAATCACTGGGAACCGAAGAGGCTTTCGAAATATTTCAAGACCCCCCCCACCCACACCCACCCTTCTCTCTCTCCTTGAAATATGAAGCATGCTGTTTATGAGAGCAGTGAAATTGGTCGTTTTCATACTTTGCGTACTCCAAATGTGATTTATCCCCGCGATATTATTCAGATTCGTTTTGTTTACATCTTTTTAACAATCGCAAATAAAACAAATGTTGTTTTTAAACCAAAGCAAAAAAAAAAAGTAAAGCTTTTTTTTTTAAAAAAAACACCAGAATATGCACTGAAACTTTCAGACTTATACGATTAAACCCAAGTGATTCTCTTTGACTTAACAACCGTTATTAAAGTAGTCCAGCGATAGGGATCAGGGTTGCAGGAGCCCGCGAGTGAAAATAGATGCAGAAAACGATCCTTTTGCTCATGTTAGAAGTGTCTAGAAATCAAAGACAGATAGTCCCTGACTTACGACCATCACTGAGCCCAGAATTTCTGTTGCTGAGCGAGACCATTGTTAAGTGAGCCTTGCCCCGTATCATGACCTTCCTTGCCACCATTGTTAAGTGAGTCGCTGCCGTTATTAAGTTAGTAAAATAGCTGTGTAGTGAATCTGCTTGTCAGAAGGTCGCAAAAGGGGATCGCCTGACCTTGGGATGCAGCCACGGTCATAAGTATGAACCAGTTGCCAAGCGTCTCAATTTGGATCCCATGGCCATGAGAGATGCTGCAAGGGTCATAGCTGTGAAACAATAGTCATACGTCACCTTTTTTTTAGTGCCCTTGCACCCTGGAACGGTCACTAAACGAACTGTTACCAGTCGAGGACTACCTGTACTGTTGTAACATTGAGAACTCCCTAAATCCGTGACGGCGAACCTACGGCACGCATGCCACATGTGGCATGCAGAGCCGTTTATGTGGGCACGCGAGCCCCAGCCAAACTGACCTGCACTGCTCATGCACGCTCCTCTTCCCAGCTGAATACCGGCCCATTTGAGGCCGTTTTCGCCCTCCCGGAGGCTCGGGGGAAGAAGCCTCTGCAGCCTGCGGAGGCCGAAAAAAGGGCCTTCCGGAAATACCAGAAGTGCCCAAACGGGCCTGTTTTTCAGCCTGCAGAGGCTGCAGAGGCCTCCCTCGAGCCTCCGGGAGGATGAAAACGGCCTCAAATGGGCCAGAAATCAGCTGGGAGGTGCGCGCATGTGCCATCACTGCCCCTAAATGAGCAGTTTTGAGTCAAGGACCGGCTGCGAGGAGCAGGCAGGCTCGCTCTCTGTTTGGAAAACGGAAGGTTTGATAGGTTGCCTAGCGCAGGACTCAGAGCCGACGGCTGACTTTGCAAGAAAACGAGGCTCTTTTGAGTCTTTCGTATGCTTGGCGTCCAAGGGAAAACAGCAGCCAGGCTGCCAGCGCAGACTGGAAGCAGCTCTCTTGGGGGGAGGGTCTTTCTGAGCCCCTGCTTGAGCCTGTTTCACCTGCTGAGCCAGACTGGAATGGCAAAGCTGCAAATGGTCCCTGCTATGGACTCAGCCCCCCCCCCGCCCCCCCAAGAAAGTAACCCTCTGGGCGATGTAATACGATAAGGAGCAATTAGCTGGTGGGGGATCCGGAGGGAACCCCCCTCCCCAAATGCAGCTGTTGGTGTGGATTCCACGGAACTGCGTCCTCAATCTCTTGTTGCTGCTGTAAACACAACCATCTGCCTCGTTGACATCCTGTGCTGTCGTGTAGACCAGGGGTCTCCAACCGTGGCCACCTTAAGACCTGTGGACTTCCAACTCCCAGAATTCCCCAGACAGCAAAGGTGACCCCTGAATTGGATGGATGGATGGTAGAGATGATACAAGAGAGAGGTGGATGGATGGATGGTAGGTAGGAGAGAAGGAGAGATCATAGAAAGGTGGTAGGTAGGTAGCTGGATGGATAAATGGATAATGGATGAGATAGATGATAGAAGAGAGATGGATGGATGATGGATGGATAGATAGATGGATGGATCAGATCAGGGGTCTTCAAGCTTGACAGCTTTAAGACTTGTGAACTTCAACTCCCAGAATTCCTCCTCCAGCCATGTTAGCTCAAGAATTCTGGGAGTTGGAAGTCCACAGATCTCGAAGCAGCCAAGGTTGGAGGCCCTTGTTGTAGACAATGGACGCAACTTCAAGAGGTCTCCAACTGTGGCCACTTTAAGACCTGTGGACTTCCAACTCCCAGAATTCCCCAGCCAGCAAAGGTGACCCCTGAATTGGATGGATGGATGGATGGATGGTAGAGATGACACAAGAGAGAGATGGGTGGATGATGGATAGGAGAGAAGGAGAGATGATAGAAAGATGGTAGATAAGTGGATGGATGGATGGATGGTAGATAGGAGAGAAGGAGAGATCATAGAAGGATGGTAGGTAGGTAGCTGGATGGATAAATGGATAGATGGATGAGATAGATGATAGAAGAGAGATGGATGGGTGATGGATGGATGGATCAGATCAGGGGCCTTCAAACTTGACAGCTTTAAGACTTGTGAACTTCAACTCCCAGAATTCCTCCTCCAGCCATGTTAGCTCAGGGATTCTGGGAGTTGGAAGTCCACAGATCTTGAAGCAGCCAAGGTTGGAGGCCCTTGTTGTAGACAATGGATGCAACTTCAAGAGGTCTCCAACCTTGGCCACTTTTAAGACCGGTGGACTTCAGCTCCCAGAATTCCCCAGCCAGGACTTGCATCCAAGCATGTACTGGGGGTGGTATGTGTATGTACTTACGACCTGATTCAAAGTTCTTACAATGTAGACATAGAATAACAAGAGTTGGAAGGTACCTCGGTGGTCATCTAGTCCAACCCCCTGCTCCAGCAGGAGAGAGTCTCTTCCAAATATTGGCCTTTACTTAGGATCGAACTCGCTGCCTCCTGATTGGGAGGCGAGAGCTCCACCTCTAGGTCGCCAGAGTAGTTTCTTCCCCAACCCATGGTTGCAGGACCGAATTTCAGGACCTGCGCACCTGGGCTGCCTTGGGACCCACATCAAGGTGTTTACTTCCGGGTTTGGGTGAGCCCAGGCCAGCCCTGACAATGTAAACAGATGAACAGAGTTGGAAGGGACCATGTAGGTCATCTAGTCGAACCCCTCCCGGCAGGAGACCCTACACCAATTTTTCCCTGCTCTGGATAAACAGGAGGCGCTGCGGCAGATCCTGCTGTTCCAGAGCCCCCAGACAAAATAGGACGCTTGTCATGTGGGGTCCTTGAGCTGGGGGGGCGTTTCTTGCAAACATCATCATGACCCAACTGGGCAACCTCATCAGTGCTAGAAGGGAGAGGGGTTTGACCTCTGTTTATATACAAGCAGCTTGCCCTGTCAGCGTTGGTGGGTACCCATGTACATAACCAAGGAGCTCTTACAGCACTGATGATGTTACCTAGTTGGGTAATGAAATGTCCGTAAGAAAAGAACTAAGCTCAGGGAAGGAGCCCGCCACAACCGCCCTCCTCCTCCTCTTCCTCTCTTCAAACCCCACTCCCTTCCAGCAATGATGATATGACCTATTTGGGTCATGAGACGCCTGCAAGGAAACCACCAAGCAGAGAGAGCACCCAGGACCCCTCAGTCCTCCTCCTCTTCCTCTTCCTCCTCCTCCTCTTCCCCTTCGCAATCTCCCCCGTCCTCCTTTCCTTGGGTAATGAAAGATCTGCAAAAAACAACAGCAGGGACCACCAATAACACCGCGGTTTCGATCCTGGGCTACAAATATTCCCTTCTGTGAGGCTTGTAGCGACTCCGCTGTTCCCAGGCCATTTTCTTAGGGGCTAAAAACACGCACTATTTGTCTCCTCAGGTTGTTGCAAGAAGGCGTCAGCGTGAATACCCGACATAAGCTTGGCTGGACTGCTCTGATGGTAGCAGCGATAAACAGAAACTCCAGGTAAAGAATTAAAAATATTGGAACTAAATGAACCGTCTCCAAAATTCACACCAATGTGAGCAGAAGCGAAAGAAAGTTCACAGACCCCCCCAAAACCCCACCACATTCTGCTGAAAATTATCTTTTATGAGGAGTTAAAGAACACCCTGGGTTGGGACTGAAATTGCGTTCGAAAGAAACTCTCTGGCAAGAATTCCAGACTAGCCAAGCCAAACAATTTCAGGTTTTCGAAGTCCTTGCTTTAAAACCATTTTTTTTAGTGACCTTCAAAGTTACAAGAGCACTGAAGAAAAGAGGCATATGTGACCAGGCCTCACACTTATGACTGTTGCAGCATCCTCATCATCATGGGATTAAAAATTTGGAGGCTTGGCAACTGCCAGGGGGAAAAATCACACTATTGGCAGGGCAAGCTACTGTATATAAACCAGGAGCACGCTCCACACTCCCGTTATACTGATGATGTTCCCTAGTTGGGTCGTGAAACATCTGCAAAGAAACCACCGAACTTCAAGAACACCAGGGACTCTGTGGCTTCAACCCCGAGCTACAGATATTCTCTTCCATTTCTTTCTCTCTTTCTTTATTCCTCCCCGGCCTGTGCCCTCACACCCCATAAGTTCCCAAGACCATCACCCACCCCCCCTTTTCAGGGCAGCTCTTCACACAAAGCCCTTGGTCCACAACTAAATTCAATTAACTTTTTATTGAAAGACAAAAAGGCAAAGAGGGAGAAAGAAATCCAATTTTGGGGGGACGCGGGACGGCCGGTTGGTAGCAGCTTTGATGCCACAACCTCTCCGGGGCGCTTGACTTAGTCGCAAGTTCATAAGCTCCCCCCTTTCTCCTCCCCCCTCCCCAAAAAAGGGGGAGGAGGCTTAATGTTTTGGGAAAACATTGGTATTAAACAGGCAGACAAAGGCTGAATATCCGCTCTCGGGCGACGACGCTGCGTATCCGTGTGCCGAGTTCGTGTGTGGCGGCAACTTTGATGGGCGCCGAAGACAAGCTGGAGATCAGCACCTCTGCAGGGCCGGCCTCAGGACGGGGCCCGAGAGGCCTTGAATCTGTGGGTTTAACTTTGATGTCCTCACAGCCACAGGTTCCTCTTATTGACACGGCTGTGCAAGGGTGGGTTTAGCAGCCCCATTCCCCCCCCCACTCTTCTTAACCGAGGGACAATGGTCAGCAGTAGAGTGTGACCGTTGTTGACCATTCCGAGGGACCAGCGGGGTGGAACGAGGTTTTGGGAGAAGGAGAAAGGCCGTTCATGCTACAGCGGTTCGTCCCAGATGGCCTTCCTTCCTAGCTTTCTCTCTGTCTCTCTCTCTCTCACACCGTTTTAACCCTGGAGGGATATTATTCCCCAAGCCTCTCCCTTCTGCCTGGTTCAGCCAAGGTGGACAAGATCTGCGGTAAACAAACGTTCTATCAGAATGACAACGGTTGGGAGGGACTTCAGGGGTCCTCTATCCCACCCCCTGTTCAGACAGGAGGCCCTATACCATTTCAACCATTCCACGGCTGTCCGGTCTCTTCTGGAAAACCTCCAGTGCTGGAGCATTCACAGTTTCTGGTGGCAGGCAGTTCCACTGGTTAATTGTCCTCCCTGTCAGGAAATTCCTCCTTAATTCCCGGTTGCTTCTACTCCTTGGTTAGTTTCCATCCATTGCTTCTTCTCCTGCCTCTTCAGGGGCTTTGGAGAAGAGCTTGACTCCCTCTTCTTTGGGGCAGCCCCTGAGATATGGGAACCCTGCTATCATGTCACCTGTAGTCCTTTTTTTCACTATATTAGATATATCCAATTCAATTCAGCTCAGAATAGAGCCGGAAGGGACCTTGGAGGTCTTCTAGTCCAACCCCCTGCTCAGGCAGGGGACCCTATACCATTCCAGACAAGTGGCTGTCCAGTCTCTCCTTAAAAGAGCACCCACAACTTCTGGAAGCAAGTAGTTCCACTGGTCGATTGTCCTCCCTCTTAGGAAGTTTCTCTTTAATTCCAGGTGGTTTCTACTCCTTGGTTAGTTTCCATCCGTTGCTTCTTGTCCTGCCTTCGGGTGTATTTGGAGAATAGTTTGACCCCCACTTCTCTGGGACAGCTCCTCAAATATTGGAAGAGCAGATATCATGTCACCCCGGTCCTTCTTTTCATCCAACTAGACCTACCCAATAACAGAACACCGGAAGAGGACCTCCAAGGTCATCTACTCCAACCCCCTGCTCACAAAGGAGACAATTGTTTCAGCCCAGCGACTGTCCACTCTCTTCTTAAAAATCTCCAGGGATGGAGCATTTACAACTTCTGGTGGCAAGTAGTTCCACTGGCTGATTGTCCTCCTTTTAGGAAGTTTCTCCTTAGTTCCAGGTGGCTTCTCTCCTCGGTGAGTTTCCCTCCGTTGCTTCTTGTCCTGCCTCTTCAGGGGCTTTGGAGAATAGATTGAGCCCCCCTCTTATTCTTTGGGTCAGCCCCTCAAATACTGGAAGACGCTCTCGTGTCTCCCCCAGTCCTTCTTTTCATTAAACCCAGGCACCCCCAATTCCTGTAACCTTTCGTCGTAAGTCCCAAAGGGCCTTCTTCCAAAAGGACTTCTCCTTCTCCTTCTCCTCCTCGTCATCCCAGAAGCCCCTTCAGCTCTGGCTGGATGGTGGAGAAGGGAGGGATCGGTCTTCCCGGCAGAGCGGAAGGAGCTTCTGGGATGAGAAGCGAGACACCTTCAAGGAAGAACAAAGGAACTCTTAAAAGAAATAGGTTAAGAAATGAGCAGAAAATATACAACGTAACTTTGAGAAAAGGGCTTGAGAAAATTAATAGAAAATATGTAAAGAAATGATAGGATGTGAAACTATCTGTGAAAGACGAATGTGCAATTAAGGTCATGTTTGTATGGAAATGTGAAAACCTGCAGTCATGCTGTTCACTAAAAAAAAGATGTGTGTGTATATATATATATATATATGTGTGTGTGTGTGTGTGTGTACACACACAAACACACTCACACACACTTACTTTCTTAAGTTTTCGTGGGTACTTACATGTACGGCATTCAGCTTTGCTCGGGTATTTTCCCACGTCATAGTAGTTGTGCTTTTAAAGTTGTAGCGACATTTCAGCAGAATTTCATCTGCCATCATCGGGCTTCTGTATTGTGTTCATCTGTGAGTCAGGCACTCTTGAGAAGCACAGATTAACCATCGCTACAACTTTAAAAATATACATACATACATACATACATACATATATATATATATAATGTATGTTTATGTATAAATATATATATAAAATATATGTTTTCTTATGTTTTGGTGGGTATTTATATGTATGGTATTCAGCTTTGTTCATATATTTTAAAAGCTGAATAAAATACATACATACATACATACATACATACATACATACATACATACATATAAAGAAAAACAAAGAAACTCTTGGGAAAAAAAGCACCTTTGGGACAGTCTGGATGAGGGAGAAGGCATCCGTCTTTGTAGGTTTTAGCCATTTTTTTCCCCGCAGCACCCTTGTAACTTTGAATGGTCACTAAATGACCTGTTGTGAGTCAAGGAGCACCTGTGCCGAGACAGGCTCTCCCCCCCCCCCCATCCTGCTAAGGTGCCAGGGGGGCTTCTGGCTTGAGCAGATGACGGGCATTCTGACAGGTTGGAGGGGGCAGGGGGGGCGCAGCCCAAGAGCAAAAGAAGGTCGACTGGATCCGATCTAATAATTGATACGTAATTATCTGCCTGCTTTTGTTAAGCTCCTCCAGCCGGGGGGTTCACCTTCCCCGGGGGGCTCCCTCAGCAGCTGGCATGCCGCCCCCCCCCCCCGCCCCCCCCCCCCCACCCACCCTCCCCCACACACACACACACACGCACGCAGAGCTTCCTTGCAAGCATCGCCCACCCACCCCCCTCGCAGCAAAAAGCACTTACTGTCATTGATTTAACTGCCTGGTGAACTTTAGTTAAAGGCTGCCCTCTGGGGTCAGGGCAGATTGCTGTGCCTGCAGATGAGGGCCTTTGTGGGCTAATGCAATTAAGGCCTGATCAGCAAATTAGAGGCCTGATTGGGAGAGGCAACGCACAAGCAGTGCTGGAGCTGGGGAGGCTGCACCCTCCCCCCCTGCCAGCTCGAAATGACGAAGGACGCCTCTTGCAAGAGCCGCTCGGTTTAGGGCGCACCTGCCCAGGCTGAGTCCCCCTCTTCCCACCCCCACAGAGGGCGCCCCTGCAAGGATCGGTCACCTACTCCACAGGAACTACGAGAATACCCTGGGCCTCCAGGCAGTCCTCGCCTTACCACCGCAATTGCTATTAGCACGTTGCTAAGAGAGGTGGTTGTTAAATGAGTTTTGGCTCTGTTTTACGGCCTTTCTTGCCACGGTTGTTAAGCGAATCACTGCAGCCGTTTAAGTTAGCAACATGGTTGTTAAGTGAATCTGGCTTCCAGAGAGAGAGGGAGGGAGAGAGAGAGATATGATAGATGACAGAGAGAGAGATACAGTAGGTATATGATAGATAGATAGATAGATAGAGAGAGAGAGAGAGAGAGAGAGAGAGAGAGACTGTAGGTAAACGAGAGGTAGGTATGTAGGTAGGTAGGTAGATATAGATAAATGATAGATGGGGAAAGAGACTAGATAAATGATATATAGAGAGATAGGTAGGTAGGTAGATGGAGAGAGGGAGAGAGAAAGAGAGAGAGAGATACAGTAGATAAATGATAGAGAAAGAGAGAGAGACTGCAGATAATTGATAGAGAGCTAGATGGATGGATAGATGGAGAGGGGGGAGAAAGAGAGAGAGAGAGATATGATAGACGACAGAGAGAGAGATACAGTAGGTAAATGATAGATGGAGAGAGAGAGAGTGTGTGTAGGTAAACGAGAGGTAGGTAGGTAGATAGGTAGATATAGATAAATGATAGGGAAAGAAAGAGACTAGATAAATGATATAGAGAGAGCTAGGTAGGTAGGTAAATGATAGATAGATGGAGAGAGAGAGAGATACAGTAGAAAACTGATAGAGAGCTAGATGGATGGATAGATAGATAGAGAGAGGGAGAGAGAGAGACTGTACTTGGACCCTTCTCTTCTGAGCAGTGGAAAATGCCCTCCATTTCAGAAACAAAAGACGTGTCTTATAATATTTCTTTCCTTTCCGTTTGCTTGAAATTCCTCCATGAAAGGAACTCCCACCGGTTTCCCTTTTAGGTCCTTCAGCCTCGGTTGCAAACCTTTGGTTTCTTTACCGTTCCTCCCTCCCTCCCTCCCTCCTCCTCCCTCCTCCTCCTCCTCCTCTTGCGAGCCCCCTCCCGGTACCCCCTGGGTTCTGGGCCTGCACGTCAATGCAATCGAGACGCCAGGACTGCGCCACTCCCCGCCCAGCTTGGCCAAGGCTCATTCCCCCTGCAAGCTGGGCTCTGTTTTTTGGCTCCCTGCATCATTGGGACAGGCGCCCTCAAATACCTGCCGTCCTTCAAATGCCAGGCTGGCTGGCGCTGAAAAACGGGAAGGTTCCGGCCTGGCCCTCGGTTTGGGGCAGTTGGTTGGAGGGCAGCGGGGCCAGGAGGACGGGAGTCAGCTGGTTCTGGCCATCTCCATGGAAGTGAGCCGGATCCACTGGACAGGAACCGATCTGCAGAACTAGGGAGTGGCGGAATGCCTCCTCTTCCTCCTCCCTTGGGTTAGAGCAGGGGTCCCCAAACTTGGCCACTTTAAGACGTGTGGCCTTCAGCTCCCAGAATTCTCCATTTCCAGCATAGCTTGCTCTCTTATAATCACGGGTAGGATTCAAATGTTTTAACAACCGGTTCTGTGGGCGTGGCTTAGGTGGTGGGCGTGGCTTGGTTGTCATGTGACTGGGTGGGCATGGCTTGGTGGTCATGTGACTGGCTGGGCGCGGCCAACTCAACATCCCTCACATCGAGCCACGCATCTCCTCACCTGGCCTCTTGTGACTGTGGGGATGCTGCAACAGTCGTAAGTGTGAAAAACGGTCATAAGTCACTTTTTTTCAGTGCCATCGTAACTTTGAATGGTCACTCCACACAAGCAAAGTACCAGCAAAGGAGGAAAAAACTCCAGAGAGGTTCCTGAGACAGGAAGTCTAGTCCTGCCAAGAATGCAATAAGGGTTAACGGAGAGGCAGTTTCTGTCAGCAACACCAGAATGTTTCCTTCCTGCCTTCCTTACAGGATTAGCCCTGTAATTTCCTCTAGCAACCGGTTCTCCGAACTGCTCAGAAGGTTAACAACTGGTTCTAGGTAGATTCTGGGTAGAATCCCACCCGTGCTTGTAACCCCTTCCTCTGCAATCTCTCTCCACTTTAGGAGGTTAAGAGGAAAAAGAAACAGACATGGCAGGCTGGGGAGTTCTGGGAGTTGAAGTCCACCAGTCTTAAAGGAGCCAAGTTTGGGGACCCCTGGATTAGAGCCACAAGGCAAGAACGGCTGCCCTCTTGAATAAATGAAGCCACCCTGGAAACGGATCGGCCTGGCTTTCCTAGTATAGTTACCAGGAATTGCTTAAAAATACCCAGACATCTTTCCCGGTGATTGTAGGAAACAGTTTTAAAATACGCCAAAAAACTCTACTTCAAAAAAAGGCTGCCTTATGTTCCCCCCCCCCCCCCCCCTTCGTATCAAAGGACTTCAGTCAAAAGTGACTATATTATGTATTTGTTATTTATTTCATATCCTGCCTTTATGATTTTTCTATAAACAACTCAAGGCAGCGAAATAACTAATTCCTTCCTCGTCCTGATTTCCCAACAACAACCCTGTGAAGTAGGCTTGACTGAGAGAGAGGCCCAAAGTCAACAGCTGGCTTTCATATCTAAGACAAGACAAGAATTCACTGCCTCCTGGGGATCGGACCAAGTGCCTACGTGGCTGCCTCCCTATCCCCTTCCTTCCTTCCTTCCTTCCTTCCTTCCTTCCTTCCTTCCTTCCTTCCTTCCTTCCTTCCTTCCTTCTTTCCTCCCACCCTTTTTTCTTTCCCCGCTTCCTTCTCTCCCTCTTTCTTCCTTTTCCTCTCCCTCCCTTTCTCCCTCTCTCCCTTCCTTCCTCTCTTTCTCACTCTCCTTCCTTCCTTTCATCCATCCATCCATCTTTCCTTCTCTTCCTCCCTCCCTTTCTTCCTTCCCCCTCCCTTCTCTCCCTCTCTCCTTTTTTCCTTTCTCCCTCCCTCCCTTTCTCCCTTCCTTCTCTCCCTCCCTCCCTTCCTTCTCTCCCCCTTTCTTCCTTTTCCTCTCCCTCCCTTTCTCCCTTCCTCTCTTTCTCACTCTCCTTCCTTCCTTTCATCCATCCGTCC